CTGCAAGCCCATGGCTCGGAAATACTCCTGGTTAAGGCGCTTGCTTAAATGGTAGAAAAATAAGAGTTGAGAAGGTCAGACATCCCGAGCAGTGCTGAAATAAAATTCCAAGGACTGTTTGGTGACTGAAAGAAAAATCAGTGATTCGAAAAAGCAACTCACAAGAATGCATGCATTCGCTTAGTGAGACCGCATCGATTAAATAAGAATTACACAGCCAACATACTACATTTTCGGAGATATTTTCGGATTTAGACTCTTTCATCCTGAAATGCATTTTTCATCAATGCAGGCAAGCCCGAAAGCACTCCAGCAGAACGCGCTAATCTTTAAAAAAACTGTCAGTATCGAGCGCATGCGACTTCAAACTCCAGGCTGCATTTCGCGCTATACTTGCAGATTAATAAGAATGGATCCTCCGCCGCGACTTAAAACATAAATCCATACTGATTATGTTTTGGCCCTTTCCTGCTTGCAGGGGAAAAAGGCGTGGGTAGGGACGAAAGTGTTGTATTATGGGCCGTGTTGACCTCTGGCGTGCTTGATTATCAGTTTTTATTTGCGCGAACCCAGTCGTTTTCCGATGAGAGATCATCCATCGAAAAATGCAAATTTGAAAATGCATAGGATGTCGAAAGAAGATTACGAAATCCGCAAAACGCAATGGCTTTTGAGTATCACGTCTGCGTGAAAGGAATTTCACCTTCAAGCTCAATTAAGACTACAAGTGAAGAATATAGAATACTCTTTCAAAGTTTCAGCTTCGCAGTTTGCTCCTAAGCAAAAAGCTGCTTGGCTTTTTGAATTGCCCTAAGTCTTGGTGCAAGTGCATACCGAAACTCAAGCTTAAAATTTTGTTAGAATGTTTATCGTTCATTATGGACGATAAATATTTTGACAAAATTTCAACCACTGTTTTCTGGCTAGTTTTCAAGATGGCACAGTGGCAACTGTGAAATTTGACGTGGCCGTATGCGGGGTACAAGCGTGAGCAATAGCTAAATTTGAAATCTTTAACTTCTACATGCACAGAGAATATTCTTGCAAACTTTCGGCTTTCTATTTTGTCTGGTACACGAAATCGTTTTTTGCTAAAGAAATCTGCATACTTCTTGGGGGGTTCATACACGACAACTAGGCGTGTCTGAGCAATGATTTTAAAACAGGAGGTGGCACAATAGGGTAAAAGTATGCCATTAAAACTTCAGCTTCCAGCTTACCTGGTTGCTGAGTTGAAAGTGGGTGACAAAGCCTCTCGACAATATGCGTTTTTGCTCACTGTAGTTTCAATTATTGGCCACTGTTGGGCTCGCTTTTGCCCCTTCCTTCTTCTGCTCTGCCCCCTCGCCGCTTCCCACTTTTTTAATGCATTAAAAAAAAATACAAAAAACGTCTTTTAAATCCGCATATTCTTCAAATCAAAAATGAAACAACTGAAATAAAAAACGGGTCGTGACGCAAGATGGTAGACCCTTCGTTCCGATGAAAATACCCGTGCTTTATTGCAAATTTTATTCAAAACTGCACAGCTGCTCAACTGTTTTTAAGTTATTTTCAAGCTTGCTAAGTGGTGATCTGTGACATGTCAAAGTAACAGCAAATGGCAACATGCACCATTATATTTGGGGTCGGGAAATGAGGCAGTGGAACAACACAAACGTCGCTGAACCCAACGCTCATGAGCGCAGTAAGTGACTAGCAGGCTGACTATTAGGCGGTGCTCCACTGTAACAAGCAACCACAGAAGTGGGAAATTTTCCAGGTGTAAGAACTGAACTATAAATTAAAAGCTGTACCATATACCCTTTTGTGTCTGATGAAATGAAATGAGATGTACATCAGGAACGCTAGCAAACTGGCCAACAGCCGATCTACTAGAAAACCTATCTGCTGCACAACTGAAAAATCAGCGACAAACTGTAGCTCGACAACAGCAGTGAATTGGCCACATTCAAGCAGTTCTAATCACATGCGTATAAGGTGCACGGTAAATTAAATGAGTTTGATTAGACGAACGCGCTTTTATCAAAGGTGCACAGAATGTGGGGGCAACATCAACCAGACATTTCTGAGGAAATTAAATAGGGCTAAAAAAAGTCAGCTCAAAAAAATTCATCGATGACTTTTTCGGTTACAGGAACCAGCTTTTCCCAGCTTCGGATGGATACCAAAAGACAGGGTGAAATGAAAAAGTGGAAAGTTCGGAAACGGCGTTGACTGCATCCCTAAAATTATGTTCTTTCAAAGCAACCCGGAAAGCTCGCGCATTATCCATATCCACCTACTAGACTGAGTAATGCGCCAATGAACAAGCAATTGGAGACAAAATCTATGCGTTAACTAATGCGTACACGGAAGAAATGCACTCGCTTCTGGGATCAAGTCATCTGAGAGGAACTAACTTCTTTCCCTTGGGGAGGAATAGACTGTTAAAATCTAGATGTTCAAAAAGTTTCTGACCAGAGCGCCCAGTCCTCCAAACAGCTCAATCTAGAAAAACTTGCAAGACTCGGTACCACAT